TCAGGTGGAGAGTGAAATGGTTTCGGAAGTATCTGAGGAGATTTCGGAGATGGGTTTAGGAGCTAAGGAGGAGAAAACAGAGAAGATGAAGAAGAAAGCTCGTGGGTCTGGTTTGAAGTTGACGATAAAGGAGAAGAAGGAATTAGCTTCTTATGCTCATAGTTTGGGTGATAAATTGAAATGTCAACTCGTAGGCAAATCTGGTGTTACTGATTCAGTGGTTTTCTCTTTCCTTGAGACTCTCGAGAAGAACGAGCTCTTAAAGGTATTAGCTTTATAACCAAACTGTGATTGCGTTTTGGTGTTCAATCTTAGGCCTTGTTGAGATGAGTTATGGAATCAATTTCCTTCGAAATTAGCGGTTTAAAGGTATTAGGAAGTGTTCATATTTGTGGAATTTTGATTATCTGTGTTGTGATCTTAAGGTATGAATTGAGAGATGAAAGTGTAATCAATCAATCTCCTTAAGATTAGGGACTTAAGGGTATGTGGAATCTTGATTCCTTTGTTGTTGTTTGATTGATATATGGAAATGGATTGAAACTAGACTTGAGCCTCTGCTTATCCGAACAGGTGAAGATACGCAAGACATCACCTGGTGAGTTCGAGGATGAGGTTAGGCATTTGGAGGAAGCGACTGGTTCAGTTGCGGTAGGACAAATCGGGCGGACGGTGATATTGTATCGGCCTAGTCCCACGAAAATGAAAGCCGACGCGAAGAAGAAGGAAGTCGAGAGACTGTCGATTAGTAGAAAACAGAAGTTCCAAAACGCTAGACCGACTAGACCCTTTGTAAGTAAACCCGAGGAAAAAATTGCGTACTATTAAGGCTCTTTCAGTTTTCATGGTTTGTTTCTTCGTTGTTTTTGAAATTGAAGATCATTCAATCTTTTGGTAATTGCAGAGAAGAGAGTATTCAGAGAGACCTGATAACCGCGGACGTAGAGGCGGAAGTAGAGTTGCAACAACATGAATCATTACGTAGTTTTGTTTGTAATCTTCTCAAGGCTAGTAGTTCTTTGATACAATCTTGAGTACCCACAATCTTTGAATTTTGCTTATTATCATCCGTTAAATTTGTATAAAGCCTAGAGTCTAGACTTTATTCTAGAGCTTTGGAGCTCAATCCTACTTACTCATTTGGTGATTGATATATAAAATTTAGCAAACCCTTAGATATAGTTCGCAGCAACTAGGAAACAAGTCAAACTGAGACTTAGATTGATCTGATCGTCTCCAAACTAAGCATGCCTCCAGGTAAAAGAAGTCGCCGTAGATACAGAGCAAACCGACCCTGCAATGTTTTACAATCTTAGTTATAAGAATTTATGATAACAATAAGTTAAAGCAAATATGTTATGTGTATATACAAATCTTTACCCATTGAAATCCGACGAGAACGAACCAGCAGCCGAGTAAACCATAGCCGCTTCGTGTCACAAACTGTGTCATTATCAACAAGAAAGCATTTTAGGGTTGCTCAAAACTTCAAGTGTCTTTGAAGATTATTAATCTTAATTAGGGTTTATGGAAGGCTACCATTAGTGTGAGACAACCAAGAACGAAGCTCGAACTCATCACCGAGCTGACGAATTTGAGATCACGTCCCGCCTGGTAAACAAGAAACAACTTTAGCTCAAGATTACGAAAAATCGAAGATTTATTCAATTTCTTGCTTCTCAAGAAGCCATGTAATCGAGCAAGAGCTTAGAATTTACCAGCAATGTACCCTCTAGGGATACTGTCATAGGCAATGCAGACAACGCCATGAAGAAAGGTATAAGCAATCTATGCATCTGTTAAACATATCAAGAATCATATTTAGACCAAAGTTAGAATCGAAAACACATGAAACATTTGTTGATTTTCAAAGACAAAAAACAAACCTCGTTTATGATGACTTTATCATGTGTATAGACACCAGGAAACAAGCCTGGAACAATTGTTCCAATACCTCCCAAGACTAATCCAAGCGTGGCTCCAATAATCATTAGTGACTTAAGCAACGTTCTAGCCTTTGGAATGTTACGGTTCGCACCATATAACATCTCAGGCATAAATGACTGAGCCGTTTGAGAGAGTGGCTCACCCCATACATTACACATCCTGTAAGTCTGAGCCATCACCTATATAAATATCCAATTCAAATGTTAAAACAGCAACACCAAACCGCTTTAGGCGTAAAGATCTCTGTTTTTTTATTGTATTGTACCTGATGAGCTGCTAAAACGTGAGTTCCCATGGAAGTAGCACAGTAGATGATGAAAGAGTAGAAAGCAATCTTAGAGAAAATCGAGATAAAGACCGGTGCAGCGAGTGCAGAGATCTTCCATAGTTCTTGCGGTGAAGGTACCGCGAAAGAGTAAGCATTGTAGCCTTCTTTGTTCAAAGAATCCATCATCATAAAAGCCGAAACAACCTATAATCATAACAAACAAAAACACATTAATCCATTTACATTTTACAAGTTTTGGGTTTTAGGGTTTAATTAAATTACCTGAGAGATAGTTGTTGCCCAAGCAGCTCCGGCGATTCCTTGTCCAAGAAACAAACATAGGATTGTATCTCCAAGACCGTTAATGACCGTTGCGGATAATAATGCCTTAAGAGGTCCCCATGAATTCTTCATTCCAAGACTGAGACAGATTCTCTTATTAGGCGAAAAAATCGACACAGGACATCCTTCGAATGTTAAATCTAATGAATAAAAAGGAAAGTATAAGAAACCTTGCGCTTTGAGCAACCAATCCAACTAGAATAAACGGCCATGCTAAGCCTCGAATCTGCGAAAATAGAGAGATTTCGGTTAAGAGAGACATCCTTCGTCCGACAAAAAAATTGAAACAGAACATGATCAAGATAAGAACAAGAACCTGAATATATGTATTGGCTGCAGGTACAATCTCAATGTTCTTCCCTCTAGTAAAAGCTGCAAAAACCCATAACAAAACGTTAAATACATTTCACTTATATTACTTAAAAATGGAAACATTTGATTTTGTAGTTATAAATGTCTACCAGTAACAGCCCAAGGTCCGAATAGTCTTGTCAGCAAAAGCATCATGAGTCCACAAACTAATGCAATGAAAAGCAATACAGAGATTTGATGTTGTGCTTCTTTCTTGTCCTGCAAGTAAACAAAATGTAACCTAAATCTGTAGTTTTTTTACTTGGAACATAAGAAACATGTCAAAAGTTTGGAAGAGTAAAAACCTGTTTGGCAAGAGAAGTAGCGACCATATTTGATGTAGCCACAGAGAGGAACATGAAGACATAACTCATATGATCACATAGTACTGTTCCCGGTCCTGTTAAACCGGCAATTTTCTTAGACATTGAATAAATTTTGTTCGGTCGGCAAAAAAAAAAATCACTACTAACCAAATTCTCACCAAATATCAAATAGTTAATCTTTTTTTAATAAAATCCAAAGATATGACTGTTAGGTTGTCTTGACTCGTCTTATGTTCAAGTACCAAATATTTTTGAAGTTTGGTAAACCAACCACAAATCAAATGATTAAGCCTGCAAAGATGATTAAATAAAAAGATGTTGATGGGGCATCTACTTAATTAGTACTATTTTCTATTTCATTGGTCCACAGTGGTCCAAAGCCTGACAAGACTACAAACCAAAAAGATCAATGGAATCTCCCTGACTTCTTAATGGGGACAAATCCGGTTCAACTCGGTTTAATACTTCTTGCTACTAAACCGAAATTTTAATGATTTTTTTTTTCTTTTCAAAATCAGATGATAAATTAAGCTTACCAAGAGCGGCGAGTTCGACGGAGCTTCCTTGTCCGATCACCACCGTGTCGATAAGACTCATCAACGGTCCACAAATCCACATTCCCATCGCTGGACCTGTGAATTTCACGATCTCTTTCATTTGTTCCCATACACTCTGTTTCACCAGA